CGGGTCTTGTTTGACTCTACACTGAGAGAAATATTCAATAAAAATTACGTGTATTTTCCGTAATTCTGGAGCGAAATGTGGTTGTCGGAAATTTTACGGAACTGTCACGTAATTTTTATCTAAAGTCACGGAATTTTTCCACGGTGTTCCGTAATTTTTATCTGAATTATCGGTGAAAAATAACGATACCGTCACTTAAATTTTTCGAATCAACTCCGTAATCGGTAAGTGAACTGAAAGTTCCGTAATTTTTACTAAATATTTCTCTCCGTGTACCCGACACCTCGGGGTTTTTCATCTGGGAACCAGTTAGGACATTGGTTATGCAGACTCTAGTCTGAGTCATAAACAAAGAGGACTTGGGCCTAAGGTTCCCAAAACGGAAAATCCATCGGGCAGTTCGACTCTCAACCCGAATGAAATCACATCGCTCCACATTAAATATCTTCTGACTTATTTTACTAAACCTTGTTATTAGAGTTTCTTTTAATTAACGTTTACTGCATTTTAATTGTTTAATCGCGGCAGTATTCTCATGAGGAGGATAAATATATTATATCACTTTTAGAGAGTAGTTTTTATTCTCTACAAAACCCATGTGGAAAAAGTTTTGATAAAAGTCATAAATAAATAATAATAATTTGTACAACTCAAAGAGAACAAAAAGGTTTTGCGTGATCTATCCAATTTTGGATAGCGATCCCAAGGTTGACCCCTGAATTTTCAATGTTTCATGCCTCTGGTAATATTCAAATAAAGTCCCAGCTGACATTCAATATTCGTGGTTTGAAGGGCATTCGACAAATGCGTTCTAACCAAGGCCTTCACATAAAAAAAAGTGATATGTAACACGTGTCTCTATGTAAGACGAGTTCAATGGGTGGAATAAATGGGTGTGTCTACTCTATTTATTTTTCATTCCTTAGTTCTAATTTTTTTTTACCTAAACTATGATCTGGGCTTCCCCCATATCCGTAGGAGCTATTTTTATTTCCATTACTTCGTGGAATTGAATCAATTTGTATTCTCATGTGTGAGTATTGTATTGTATATATATTCAACCCTAGTTGTCCATATTAAGCCAAATTTAATTCATTTATCTTTTTTTTTATCTATTGGATTATGGAGATCGAAATAAATAAACACTTGGAGAATGTTAAGACTGAGAATTATTATTGAAAATTATAAGACTCTAGATTGGCAACATTTACTCATGTCTTTTGGAATTTCAAATGACAAATTGGAAATAAGAAATTTGGAATTCGGAATTTTAAATTCCAAGTCTGAAGTTCGCTTTATATTTCTTCTTGATCGATCATGTACAACTTCTTCAGGTTCTTCTAACCTGAAATTTCCTAATCTCAAGCTGATTAAAATTTAACCAGAAACTAAAAATTACCGCTATAAATGAAAAGTTAAAGAATTCGAAATCTGAAATTTGCCTCATCTGTCCGAATCCCGGAAAAAATATCCCAGGGAAAAAATATTCCACACATTCAAAACGTGTTAAAACTCGCTTAATTTAATTATTTTTTAATTTAATTATTTTTTTCGTTGTCTATTTTTTCAGGGACTCTAATTTTCCTATGGTCTATCAAATTGGGTGGGTCTTAACACGTTTTGGGTGTGTGGGCTATTTTTTCCGGGGATATTTTTTCCGCCTACCCATCTGTCCCGCCGATGGACTCAAATTCTCCTTTCCCATATGTTTCCTAATTTGATGCTATAAAATTTCATGTTTCCAATTATAATTTCGAAATGTCAAATTCGTGAAGAGCCAACTGACCAGGACAGGAAAATTCCCTGAGAAATTTATATGAAGAAATAAAGAGAATTCGGGCCTAAGGTCCCCAAAACGGATAATCCATCAGACAGTTCGACTCTCAACTATATTACCTTTAGAGGGTAGTTTTTATTCTCTACACTGAGAGAAATATTCAATAAAAATTACGTGGATTTTCCGTAATTCTGGAGCGAAATGTGGTTGTCGGAAATTTTACGGAACTGTCACGTAATTTTTATCGAAAGTCACGGAATTTTTTCGCGGTGTTCCGTAATTTTTATCTGAATTATCGGTGAAAAATAACGATACCGTCACTTAAATTTTTCGAGTCAACTCCGTAATCGGTAAGTGAACTGAAAGTTCCGTAATTTTTACTAAATATTTCTCTCCGTGTACATTCACACCTCTCGAATTTCGAATTTCAAATGACAAATTAAAAAAAAAAATTGAAATCGTCAGAAATAAAAATTGTTGGTGTAGGCGTGTTCGGCAAATTGTCAACATATGGACTGGGCAAGGCCGAGTAAACATTGCGTTACGGGTAACAAATTGAATGACGCTGTGTTGGTTCATTGGCACACAAATTAACTTGATAAAACTGTTGGCTTTTATATGTTCCGTCATTGAGCGTAATTAAGTTACTTTCTTGGGAATAGATAACCGTGTTATTCTCAACTTCAATTACATTATCGTGATTGAACTTTATTTTTTTATTACTATTCAACTCGTTTATCTCTCGCCTTGACGATTGTTGTTGAGCATTCGATTTTTCAGATTATAATAATATTGTGCTAATTAAATATGATAAACAAATTTAATGAAAGATTGTTTACATCATCCGGCGTACGTTATATAAAACTTTAAATCAAAAATTCATGGGAAAAAGAATTCAGAAAAATCTAAAATATCATCCCATTGTTCTTTAAATCTCCCGATTTGCAATTCTAATTGCAGAATAATCATAAGTGCAATTATTTAAATCATAAAATCAGTATAGAACACTAATTATTCATGACATGACATTAAACAATTAAACAATGAAATACATAATCAATATCGAAAACAATTTCGATGAAATTCATAAATTTTTCTATGCGATTCTCAACAGAATGATTTCGAGTTACGTAAATCCAATTCGGAGTTGTTTCACATTATTTGTAAATATAGAGGCTCTAAACAGCGAAAACATAAATAAACATAATAAATGTATACATAAATATGTGAATTAGCATTTACGTATATCAGACGAGTGGGCAGTATATTTCGAAAATTCAGAGGAATTGTGAGACATGATTTTGTATGTAGGCCACGAAAATCATTAATGAATGACGAAATCGTCATCGAATCATCACGTGAAAGTTACGAAATCAAACGAGGGAAAAAGGTATTTATCCTTGTCCTCCAAAAAAATATTGTCAACATTTCGTTGATCGTATCGTGCGACAAAATCAATAGTCACTATCGTTTTGACCCCATGTAACGAGGGGAGAATTACTCTGCAAGTGGTGGAGGAAATTAAACAGCCACATTATTAATCTTCGCGTGAAAACCTTGACGAATGAATTTTTTATTAGCAAGAACGAACTTTAGTTATAAAAATCGTGATTAAGAATTTTTAATTCAAATGAGTTCCAAATTCAAATTAGCCGCCTCAGACGACTGGACCAATGAGGAATGAGCGTGACAGAGTTTCGAGATATCGATAGTCTCGATGTTTGCTTTTTTAGAATGAGAAGAATAAACGCGCGCTACAGCGCGATGTAATTATAAAAATCGCGATTAAAAATTGTTAATGTAAATGAGTTCCAAATTCAAATTAGCCGCCTCAAACGACTGAACCAATGAGGAATAAGCGTGACAGAATTTCGAGATATCGATAGTCTCGATGTTTATCCTTTTTAGAATAGGATTATTTGGGGCGTGCTATACGCCCCTACACGGAGAGAAAAATTGAGTAAAAATGACCTAACCGATTGGCAATTCTGTTCTGTTTTAATGACGGTTATCTGACCATTCGGGAAAAAATTACTAAACTTTTAGGTAATTTTTGTCAATGGGCTAGATAACTTTCACCAAGTAGTCGACAAGTTTTTATTATTAAATTAAATTAATTCTTTATTATTAATTAATTTTCCGAATTATCTAGCTCCGGAAAAATTACCTGGAAGTCAAGTACATTTTCTTAAACGGTTGGATAACTTTTACTGCGGAAATTTTACTGAGTGGTACGGTAATTTTTCTCGAACGGTTAAAAAAAACGGTTATTTAACGGATAGGTAATCTTTACTGGTTTTTTCTGTTCAGCTATTGTTTTGGGAAAGGAAGAAATATTAGGAAAGTAGCGATTACTTCCGATCGCTGATGACGCATTAGGTCTATTCATTGACTTTTCTAAAGCAACAGCTAGATTTAGCCGGGCGAAGCGCCAGCTTTGGAACATCTTGAGGGTTACGAAATTTAAGCTGATGCTCCTTGAGTCTTATCATTTTCAATGAGTGACGTCAACCTTTATTTCGTAATATTCATGATTTTCTCATTCAAAACGCACGGAGAGAAAAATACAGGAAAAATACAGATTTAGGAACTGTTAAAATCCGAAAATAGTCATCTCTTCCATCAATTATTATTGCAAAAAAAGAAGCGAAAAAATATGAAACAGTCCAGGAAATTATAGGTCTCGTAATTTTTTCAGTTCAAAGAGTCGCTTTTCACCGACTGAGTCGTCGAATTTTCTGTAAGAGCTACACTTTTTCCGATTTTACTTTCCACCCGACGATCCCGTTTTGGACTGGAATTTTTGCAACTTCTTTCACGTATTTATTGCTCTTTGTGGAACCATTGCATTCATTTTTCATTTTCGATTTTTCATTTTTCCTAATTTCACTTGGAGATGATCTAGAATAGTCTCATGTTGGTAAAAATGTCCGAGTTTGTCAAATGCGGAAAAATCTCGCCAAAAATTGAAAACTTTAGAAATTAATTGGTAAAACTTCGAGAAAAATCAATTTGTTTATTAACATTTTTTGATAAATATCTGAAAAGATACTCAAAGAATTTCAATATTTTCTTTTGCAAAGCGTTCGCCTTGATGTCCTCTATCACAATCAATCGAAATATACATAACCGTTCATTATTTTTATTTTTTATTGTTATCTTTCTCATTCAACGCTTTCCACTGGAAAATTGAAACATCCATTCGTTTTTTGATTGATTGCAGGAATTACAGGAGTCTTTTACTTCTGTTTCTTCACTGGCTTAGCAATATTGTGTGCCATCTGCTACAAGGGGCTTGAGGCCAGTTTACCTGAGCATGAACCTAGATGGAAATTGGATCGTAGCCTAATAGGAACAAGTCCAGGTGAGTTAATAATATTTGTTCATTTAAACGAGTCTAAAATCAAATTACTTAATATTTAAATCGTTTCAATTCTGGATGATTACCTCATTAAACAAAATAAATAAAAAGCTCACAAAACAATTTTGTTCCAAATTTTTAAATAAAATGTTAATTTTTCAATTGTTAAAGAAAATCTTTTTATTTATTGTTTTGTAAAATGTTACGTAGTAAAAGATACACCAATAGAGTTTTTCAATTATCAAGTAGGTTTCAGCCTTTTTCTATTTATTCATTCAAATCTTGTGTTAGAAAATGGAATTCTATTCTTTCGAGGTTTTTTCATAATTTCTCATGAACAACGCTCCGAATCGACTCGAATCATTGCTTAAGAATTCCCAATTGAATATTCCATAAGTGTATAAAATTTCATGGCTTTGGCTGCATTTTTTCCGTTCTTTTCACATTTTTGCTTCCGATTGGAAGCATTGTAATCCTTCTATTTTTCGATTTCTTAATTTTGCTTGGAAACGATGTAGAATGGTCTGAAACATAAAAATACGAAGCACTCTCACCCCGTGTGTATGGGCGGATGTCCACCTGGTGGTCATGTTTTTTGAAAGTTCTAGAATTAACCAACTTTAAAAATTCAAAAAAATTCGTCATTTCGTCGGGTCGTAGATATTAATGACGACTAACTCTGTCCCAAATTTCAACTCAATTCGTTTGTAGATCTAATTTCTGGAATATCTCAAAAACTATCCAACCGATATGATGTTTTTTTCTTTCAAAATATTCGTCTTGATGTCAGCTATAACAAGTAATAAAAATATATATACCGGTTGATTCAAATTTTTCGAGATATTTTATCTTTTCTGTTTTTTTACCAAAAATGCTTGTGTGCACTCTCACCTGCGCAAAAATCGATATATCAACTTGTTTCAAGATTCCAACATTTCACAATTTCAATGACCAATTATCAAAACGTTTTTAAAAAGTCATATCCTAAGCTCCTAATCAGTCTCAAATTTTGCGGACAGTGTCCCAATGGTTCGAAGCTTTCGCAGAAGACAAATTGAAAAATTGGCTGCATTTTTTCTCCGTCTTTCTCTACCTAACATGTGATGATTTATTAATTAATCCGGGTTGTAATTTTTTTAGGCTTAGGGTTTCGTCCCATATCTGAGCACACTGAGGCAGGTTCTATAATCGCATACAATGCTGCTAACACAACGCAGGTCAACATGTGGGTTGGAAGACTCAACAAGTTTCTCGAAAGTAAGTCCATAAACGATCAATACTTGAAGACCTATTGCCAATTCTCATTTTTCATGTTTTTTTATTAATTTCCGGAAACCCTGGATCAGATTAATATTAAAAATATACCGTCTTTTAGTTTTATCATTATTCACTAACTCCCAAATGTTCAGGGTCATCCACTTATGTCTCCAAATTTTTGGTAACATACGGGAATTTTTGCAAATATTTACTGAAAACGTAAAAAAATTTATTCGTGTCACATTAGTTGACAATAAAAATTGAAACGGTATATTTTATTATGTAATAATGTTAATGCAATTAAGTATCGAAGTGGTGAACTAGGATAAGTGCTTTTTTTCGGGGCCAGTTTTTAGTGAATATCTCAGAATTCAAGACACATCGTGAATTTTTCGCATAAACATTTTTTATAGAGAAATCTATGAGCTACAAAAAAGATATCTATGAAAATATCATTATCTTTGTTCAATTTCGAGAAATCAACTGAAAATGGCAAGAAAATAACTATTGATTTGAGGCAACTATTTAGCTTGATTCGCTTCAAGTAATTCTATCCAAAAACAAATATTTAACTTCATTTTATAATATAATTGTCATCCCAAAATTTATACAAATTTACTCACGCGCAGTAAAGATTCTTCAAGATATTTCTTTTCTTTCTGTATTTTCTTTTTTTTATTTTCACTTAATTTTATTCTGCTGTCTCTCCTGATTTGATGATTAGCTTTTGGTAGGAGTTCGAGACCTGTATTCAATCACTCAATCAAACTTAACAATTTATTCACATAGTGAATCATTTTAGCGTTGTGCGTTCAGTATCAAGGATTCACTCATAAAATCAAATCAAATGTTTGTGTAATGAAGAATTGCGTTGTAAAATTATGGCATGAGTTATCTGGCAACGAACTTGGGATCATTTGTCTGTTCACCTCATTAAATGGCTTGATTTTACACTGAGAAAAACATTCAGTAAATTTGAAAAATAATTGTTTATTAAATTTTAAAATTGAAATTAAGGAATAGTTTGTTTAAAGAAACTAGTTGACATTTTGGAGTTTCATTGTGTCTATCCGTTCGCCTTATTAAATATTTTTCTTCGGGTATTTTCATTTATTTATTCATTTATTTTAAAAGAAGAAGTACCAGATTGAGGAGGTGATCATTTAAAAAAAAATTCGATTGCCAGGAATTTCAAGATCTTCAATTCAAGATCTTCATCTAAAAGACATTTATATTGTTTCTTTTTTGTGGATTATTAATTTGATTCGTGTGTGAATTTTCCATATTTTTTGGGAATACAGAATAATATTTCAAACAGTTTCTCAGAATTTATAAATTTCTCTTTAAAATTTCATGAGATTTCATAAGATTTTTATACGACCTGCTCACTAGACTTCAAGAGTGATGATCTTCTCCTCTCAGACTCAGTTTATTTTTATTTATATAAAAGATGGAGCCAAAGCAACGGAAAAGTGTAGAAGCTTTTTACGATTTTTAATAATTCATTTCCACAAATTAATCGCCATTTTTTATTGCCAATCTTCATCCCGTAATGAAGAATAACAAAAAGCAGATTATTATCTTTTTGTTATTATTATCATTATGTCCGAAGTAAAAACAAAGATGCAATGATTGGAAATGTTGAACTTTCTGTACCTGATCAGTGCAACTGAATTCTTTTTTTTAATTCACTCAATTTTTTTAAGCAATTTAATAATAATAATTCTTATTGTTCGAAGTACTCCGGATTGTTTTTAGATTTTTATGCCCAGAATCTGGAAAAATTGGATTAATAAAGAATGTGTAAATAGAAAAAATGTATTCACATCTGTTGCTGTGAAAAAAAAACATTTTTATATCAATTGACTATGATAAGAGTGATATCAGCTTCGGAAAAATGTCTAGTAGGCCGTAATCGTAGTGGATCTGTTATCAAAGTGGAATGACATACATTTTTTTAATGGATTTCAAATACTTCAAAAATTAAGAATGAAGAAGCACTTCAATATATTAATTCACTCAATTGGTATTTTTTTCTCGGTAAGATAACGGTTACGAAGCAATTGACCAATTTTACCAAGCGGTACACGAAGAGAAATATTCAATAAAAATAACATGTCCTTTCCGTAATTCCGGAGCAAAATATGATTGCAGGAAATTTTACGGAACTGTCCGGTCATTTTTACCTAATGTCGGAAATTTTTCCGCGGCGTTCGGTAATTTTTATCTGAATTATCTATGAAGAATTACAATACCGTAACTTTCACATAATTTTTCGAGTCGATTCTGCAATGGGTAAGCGAACTGAAAGTTGCGTAATTTTTACCGAATATTTCCATATTTCTATAGTGTACGGTAATTTTTTCCGACCGGTAAAAACCAGGAGCGATTACCAAGCGGTTAGGTAATTGTTGCTGAATTTTTTCCTCCATGTACTGCAACAATATGACTGCTGATGAATTAACATTTGTATAAAAAATGTAAACGCTTATTCAGTTTCATTCGGTCGATAACCAGATTACTTGCATCCATCGCAATCACCAACTGCTCGTCCAAATCAACAGCCATGCAGCCACGACTTCCACAATCTGACGAACGATAAAGTATGTGCTGTTGATATTCATAATTGGGGCCCTTGCTCGCCAGAAGAAGGATTTGGCTTCCGAAATTCATCACCATGTGTCTTCATCAAGCTGAACAGGGTAACTAAACCCCAATCATCTACTACCCACACAAAAAAAAAATACATCCAGAAATATATGTCAATTATATATTGACCATAGCCAATAAAAAAGTCGGAACTTCGCGGAACTTCAACTGTGGAAGAAAAACAGTCAATTGTTTAAACTATATAAGAGGATTTTAAAAATCAAAATATTTAATGGAAATTCTAAAAAATAGAATATGGCCTGACTCTACACCCCATTCAATTTTTTATTTCTCCTAGAAGTTAATCATCTAAAAAATTCTTTGAAAAAATGTTGTGTTCATACAACTTAGTATTTTAATATTTTATTTTCATTGCAGATATACGACTGGATACCAGAGTATTATAATGATTCGAGTGATCTGCCCAGTGACATGCCTGAGAGTCTAGTGAACCATATCAAGAGTCTCAAGGGGAAAGAGGTAAGAAACTTCAGAAAAAAAACGATACTGTGTTCGGAGGAGAACCGGTTATTTTTCCCATCCAAGGTCACTCGCGTAATTTACGTAATCAATTTCACTCGACAACGAGACGTACTGCGCACTCTGTGCGCCGAATTTGAATTTGGCGGTTCGACGCAACCAATGAGGAATTAGTACTACGCGTTTCGAGATATTTCGATTCGGGCGATCTTCATTTTTATGTTTCTACTTTCATAAAAAGGACGAGATCTACTGCGCACTCCGTGCGCCG